AAAAACTTTAATGTCAAATAGACATCAAATTGACGGCTAACATTGGCTTCAAAAAACATGTCAAAGAATCGATTACAGGACAATACTGCAAGTTATTTTGATGTGCTTTTTGACACAAATGTTAGATGTCAATTTGATGTCATTTTGACATCAAGGTAGTCACATCGATTAGTCTTATTGATTTTTTTTAAGTGTTTTTTTCTATTTTGTTTTGACATCAAGGTGCCCCGCTGGGTAGGGTTTAAAATTGAAAATGAAATGAAATTGAAATGCCCAAAATTTCTAAACAATGCCCAAATATACATAGCAAAAACGATTAAACTATCATCATCATTATTATTATAAACTGCAAAGTATTATTAATAATAATAATATTAAATAATTTTTCACTATGACATTGTCTATCCTTTTATCAATGTCTATCAATATTTTAAATAATAAATGAATAAAGAACAAGTTTCTAATTCAGTCGCTCACAAACAAAATTAATAATCTTAAGCATCTAATAGTCATTAAATGAGGATAAATTGTAACTAAACTACTTTACTTCTTTTCTATATAATCTACAAAGAGCCTTACCAAAAATTAGCAATTTAAAAATATTTACATTTTTTAAATAAATAATAAAAAAAAAGCTTTAATTTCTGTCAGAAAATCCTACAACATATGACTCAAACTGGATTTCTGAAGGACCATAATCAAACACAGCTGATCCACCTAATCTAGGTGTTCAAGACTACCAGAGACTATTAAGTAGGTGTGAGTTGGAGGTGGTAGGAGATAAACTATGCAGAGATGTGGCCCTCCAGGAATTGAGTTTGAGACCACTGTCCAACAATGAAGGGCAAAATTCTAAATACTGGTAAATGCCTGGTAAAAGTCACTATTGAAAGCACAATCATTCATATATATATATATATATATATATATATAAACTGCAACTGGATTTAAAATTAAGTATTTCATTTTAAATATTACATAATAAATAGATGGAATTAACAGCTTTTAGTCATTAAAACTCTTAAACTAAAAATAATTTTACCAAAAAAAAATTTTAAAATCAATTCAACAGGTTATGCTAGTGTCAAAGCTAGATGTGACGTGTCAAAAAGCACTATATTTGAAAACGAGAAGAAAAGGAAAATCATTGATTCAAAATTAATAATCTGATTTCCATCAGCCTGCAACTGCAGCAGGGTCTTCGGTGACGTATGTTTAGCTTGTCTAACAACCCGGCTCTGTTCTTCCTAACCCTTTTTTTCCTTTTTAATAGGTCTGTGACAGTCCCTGACACAGAGGTGCAAAAACCTCTCCTGTCTCTGCCGGACTGTGAAGTTGAGAGAAGCACTAAAAACTATACAAGACCACCGAGAGACGCAGACAGCCCTCAGCTGCAGCTCACTATTGTGTAACGGGATATTTAGGGCACATCTGTTTCCAGAGGGAATCAAGCGCTTGAGAACACAGGTTAACTGAGCAGTGAGAAATCAAGAACATGCTTCTGCAAACAAACACAATGATTGTCCCTTCAATGGTAAAATTGTCCTTACAGTCTGTAAAACCTAAAAGCAATGTTTAATGGTGTTGCTGCAGCTGACAAAATCCTGAGCAATCCCCTTTTAAGTGAGTGAATCGTTTCTTGCAGTCGCTGACTCATTCCGAGACTTGCCTTTTCAAAGCAAGTGTTTTTCTGCTTTTTAGTGAGAAAATAGCATTCAAGTGTGGACTAGCAAGAAGCACACAACACTGAACAAGTCAAATGCTGCACTGAAGCTGAAATTAAAGGGATAGATCACCGGGAAAAAAATCTATTTTTGACTTTCTTCTTTGAACTACTTCTGGCAGCCATTGATTTCAATGTATTTATTTTAAAAAAAGCTTATTTTAAAAGACTTGAAACCACTAAAGGGTGAGTAAAGGAGTATTTTTGTTAAGGACTGTCAAATCACTTTGTCAGATTACATGAACTGTTGCCTATTTTTTAAATAACTGCTTATCCAATGAAAGGCTATACTCCTTAAATACCATACCTTTTCTAATTTATTTACCAATATATTATAAATTATTGCATCAAATGTCTGCTTTAAATCTATAAAAATTCAAACTACCTTCTCTTTTTTATCTATCTTATTAGTAATGTTCTCAATAGTTTTTGTTAATGCCAGAGATGTAAATCTATTTTTCCTGAAACCATATTGCTCGTCAGAAGGTTATGCGTTTCTATGAAATTATTAAGCCTTTCAACAAAGAGTTTTTCCAAATTAAAAAACAAAAACAAAACTGAGATAGCAAAGAAACTGGTTTATAATTTGTAAAGTAGTGTTCATCTCCAGATTTATAAAGTGGAATTATCTTTGCGATTTTCATTTTATTTGGAAATTTACTAGATTGGAAAGATCCATTACAAATATAGGTGGAAAAGACAAAGAAGAGCTGTTTTGATATTTCTTCACAGAGCTATAATTGTTTGAGATGGAGTAAACAGACCAGGAATTCCAAGAAACTAAAACTTCCTGCAAAAGATCGATGTAAAAATACATCTTACATCATGTGTCAAAAATAGAGGCAGATTAGCCAAGAAGTTGTCTAGAACTCAAAATCGACAGCCACCTGAACCGAGTTTAATTTTACAATTTGAAATATATTAATCTACTTAATAAGACATCTGTTAACCCCCAGATGGTAAATGGTTTTTACAATGGATTTTTGTGTTTTTGGAAGCTTAAAAAAAAAAGGCCACTATGCAACACCATTAACCGCATGAAAGAGTCAAGATCAAGGGCGGAGCACAGGGGTGGCTTCAGCAATGAATGATTTATCAGACGCCCTGAATCATTTGGATTTGTTAAGTTTTACAAAACACATTATGCAGAAATATTTCAATGAGTTCAATATTGCTTTCCCACAGGATTGATAACACAATATCAGCTGGGCTTTCTCTATCTCTTGTTTATTTGAGAGATTTCAACGAACACAGCTCCACGGCCGCAAGTGCTTTCTCTCCTCTCCCTAAAACAAGCTTACATCACACACCGTGGTCCTGCATAGCCATGCCTCCTGTCAATCACTCAACGCAGCACTCGTGTCACCGCCACATAAATGCACTTTTTTTTTTTATCAAAGTAAGCTTGTTGAATATTGTGAGGAGAACGTTGGGTTACTATTTGTAAATAACTGCACATGCAACAAAATCTGGCTACCTTTTTTTGATTCATTTAAGATTTACCTCAGATTTTTGTAGTTGCCTGCGATTTGACATAACACAGACTGGCATATGACATGGCACAGACTGTTCTGATTAGCTGTAAGTTTAGATGTATTAATTCACGTTTATTTATGTGAAAGTGGAGTCTGACAACAATAAATATTCTTATCAGGAATACAACCACCTTTTCCAACCATGCTGACTCTGCCGAGATGTTAGTTAGTTAGTTAGTTAGTTAGTTAGTTAGTTAGTTAAAGTTTATATAGCACATTTTTTACAGCACAACATTGCCCAAAGTGCTGAACACAATCAATAATAGTTCAAATAAAACCTACATCACATACATAAAAATTAAAACATAAGGCAAACCCCTCAACATTAAAAAGGCTCAAATGCTAAAGAGCAAAGATGGAGTTTCAGAAGCTTTTTAAAAAAACAGATATAGTTGGAGCGTGTATGATGCGGGGTGGAAGCTCGTTCCAGAGTTTTGGGGCGATAACAGCAAAAGCCAGATCCCCACTTCGCTTACACCGGGACCTTGGTACCGAAAGAATAAACTCAGAAGAAATTAGTGCCCTACCAGGACTATACTCATGTAGGAGGTCTGATAAAAAGGGTGGTGCCAGATCATTTAAGGATTTAAAACAAAAACTAATAGTTTAAAATCAATCCGTGACCTAACAGGCAGCCAGCCCAGAGAGGAAAGAACTGGGGATATGTGCTCATACTTGCTGTCAGAAGTCTCGCAGTCGCATTTTGTACTAATTGCAATCTATTCAGGGCATTTCGACTAATACCCATATACAGAGAGTTGCAATAGTCAAGTCTTCCCAAAATAAAAGCATTGATCACCTTCTCAAGGTCATTAAAAGAGAGAAACAACTTTACTTTTGCCACAAGTCATAAATGAAAAATAACTAGATTTAACAACTGAATTTACTTGTGTGATTAATTTCAGATCACTATCGAAATGAAACCCAAGTTTCTCAGGTTTTTGATACATTGATAGCTCACCAAAACATAAATGCAGAGGGTTAGGATTGCCAAACCTGTAACTAAAATATTAGGTATGCTAGCTACTGTTATTTTATGCTGGGTACTAGGTTGGCTACTTCTTTTTTTAATTCAAATACTTTCCAGAAACGTTGTATATGATGGCTTAAATAAACAGGGTAAAATGGGGGTGTAGTGACCAAGTACATTTGGGATAAGCCTTGAAAGTTTATAATGGTCAAGACAATATTTAAACTATTCTGATTGCATTCATCTGAAAGAAGAAAGGCATATACTAAAAGGATGGCTTGAGAGCGAGTGAATTATGGGGCAATTTTCCGTTTTTTATTCTTTTATCACTTTAAACAAACTTGCCATCGACTGACAAATAATTTATAAAAGAACACCTGTTTTGTCGCCACCTACCGGCATTACTACCCAACCCACAAAAAAGGTCCTCTGAAAAACAAATGACAGAAGAAATCTCTAAGTGAATCGACTCATACGATCCGAGTCGCAGAAGTTGAATCAATCTCCCCACCACCAGCTCTCGCCCTCCCCTCCCCCGTTCCCTCTTCCTCTTCCCACATCTGGTTCCACTCAGAGTTTGGACTTTCGTGGCATTCCTTCACATCAGAGCAGCCGGAGCCAACAAAACACAACAGCACCCCAATATACAGCCAAGTCTCACTTCATTACCATTACTTTTTAAATCACAAAACACCTCATAAGCATGGCAAGTGACGGAGCAGTCGGGGGGAAAAACAAGAAAAAGTGATAACGAAGGGTAAATGTTTCCTACCTGAGTGCACGGCGCTCCGCTCCAGGCTCAAAACTAGAAATAAATATAAAGTGCATCTGCAAACGCTGATCCACGCGCGACTCCAGCGGCGCTCCCGGTGCTGATGATGCATGCCCGCGGAAAGGTGGAGGTTGTGGGGAGGAAAAGCGGCTGTTTTCCCCTATCCCGGTGAAGGAGAGGCTGGGCTGCTGGAGGACAGACGGGCTCTTTGAGGGTGTCAGTGTGTAGCTGTGTGCGTGGACTGTGATGAGCTCGCGCTGAATGAGCGGAGCAGACCGTTCACTTTCACTGCACACACCAACACACACACACGACGCTCGCTCACACACACACTCTCTCTCTCTCACACACACATACACACACGTCCCAGGAAAGTGAAGTGGAGGAAGGCGGAGAAAGAAGTTTGAATGACTAGTCGACACCCCGGGTTAAGTGTCCACAGGGCTGAGAATTCTACAGAAGTTTGAAACACCTCAGTGGGAAAATCAATAGTGTTACTTAATGTTTAGAATTTGCTTACTAGTCTAGTATTACTCAAAATAACAAAAACCAAGCACTTTGAAGCCTCCACATACGAAACCATTAAAGTTCTCATTTTTTGTTATGGTTTTAATAACTGTATTGTCCTGTGAGTTTCAAAATAAATCGTTGATTAACATTTTCACAGGTGTTTTTGTACAATTTTATTAAATTGAAACACTTGTGGTCAAACATTAATTAAAGATTACAACTTTGTCAAGGTGCTCAAGACTTTATAAAGACTATATATCTCTATACAGTGCATACGGAAAGTATTCATAGCGCTTCACTTTTTCCACTTTTTTATGTTACAGCCTTATTCCAAAATGGATTAAATTCAATTATTTTCTGAAAATTCTACACACAATACCCCATAATGACAATGTAAAAAAAAAATTGGAAATTGTTGCAAATTTATTACAAATAAAAAAGCTGAAAAATCACAAGTACAGAAGTATTCATGGCCTTTGCCGTGAAGCTCTAAATTGAGCTCAGGTACAGTATGGTTCCACTGATCATTCTTGAGATGTTTCAGCAGCTTCATTGGAGTTCACCTGTGGTAAATTCAGTTGACTGGACATTTTTTGAAGAGGCATACACCTGTCAATATAAGGTCCCAGGGTTGACAGTGCATGTCAAAGTACAAACCAAGCATGAAGACAAAGGAATTGTCTGTAGACCTCCAAGACAAGATTGTCTCGAGGCACAAGGCTGCGGAAGGTTACAGAAACATTTCTGCTGCTCTGAAAGTTCCAATGAGCACAGTGGCCTCCATCATCCATAAGTGGAAGATGTTTGGAAGCACCAGGACTCTTCCTAGAGCTGGCCGACCATTTAAGCTGAGTGATCGGGGTAAAAGGGCCTTAGTCAGGGAGGTGATCAATAAACCTGTGGTCACTCTGTCTGAGCTCCAGTGTTCTTCTGTGGAAAGTGGAGAACCTTACAGAAGGACAACCATCTGTGCAGCAATCCACCAATCAGGCCTGTATGGTAGAGTGGCCAGACGGAAGCCACTCTTTAGTAAAGGGCACATAGCAGACTGCCTGTAATTTGCCAAAAGGCATCTGAAGGACTCTCAGACCATAAAAAACTAAATTCTCTTGTGTGATAAGTTAAAATTGAACTCTGGAGTGAATGCTAGGTGTTAAATTTGGAGATAACCAGACACCGCTCATCACCAGGCTAATACCACCCCTACAGTGCAGCATGGTGTCAGCAAGTGGACATGTTTTTTCAGCAGCAGGAACTGGAAGACTAGTCAGGATAGAGGGAAAGACGAATGCAGCAATGTACAGAGACATCCTGAATAAAAACCTGCTTCAGAGTGCTCTTGACCTCAGACTGGGGCAATGGTTCATCTTCCAGCAGGACAATAATCCAAAGCCAAATATCAATGGAGTGGCTTCACAACAACTGAGCCCAGACCTAAATCCTATTGAACATCTCTAAAGAGAGCTGAAAATGGCTGTACACTATCGCTTCTCATCCAACCTGATAGAGCTTGAGAGGTACTGCAAAAAGGAACGGGCAAAAATTCACAAAGACAGGTGTGCCAAGCAGGCATGTGCACACATAGGGCTCAACCTGTGCAGTGTACATGCCCTTTTTAGTCTTGGATAGAAAGTGCCCTTCCAAAATGATCAAAAGTGCCCCCGCGACACCCCCTTCCCCCTACCGCCCTTCAGTAGGCGCGCGACAACACCGCTCTTGAGTACGTATATATACGTATATGAATATACGTTAAAAAACAAGAACAAATCATGAATGAGAAAATATGGAAAACTGCTAATTTACAGAGATTTTACAGCCCTGGATAATGACTTTTCTTCTGTTGGTGGCATGTGTGGTGGCATTAAATCCTGCAAAATCCTGGTGGAATCCATCAAAATGTGCGGGTTATAATGGTGTGGTATTTACCAATAGGTTTTTCTTTTTTTGCTGTTCTTCTTCAGTGGGGATTCTCTGACAAAATCAAAAAAGTTATTTGTTTTGCTACATACTCATCCATATGCAAAAATACCCCTTGACGAATAGGGTAGACCTATAATCTTTATGGCCCACAACTCAAATGGCCAACAAATGTCAAGACAAATGTTCAGTGGAAGTGCTTATGGCCTCAAGAGGTCAAAGTAATATACAGTAAGCCATATTATATTCCTTTTTAATTGCTTTCTGCAACCAATACTTACTAATGTCTTATAAAGTAGTCAACATTTAAAGTGGATCTTCAGAGTTGTCCTAAAACTTTTGAACAACATTCTCTCTTGTCCTAGAACAATTTTGAAAAGCATTTTTGATTCACTTCGAATGTTGACTACTGTATATGAATGTATTTATTTAAATGGGTTAAAGATGAAAAGGTTTAAAACATACATACATACATACATACATATATATATATATATATATATATATATGTATATATATATATATATACATATACATATATATATATATATATATATATATATATATATATATATATATATATATATATATATATATATATATATATATATATATATATATATATATATATATATATATATATATATATATATATATATATATATATATATATATATATATATATATATATATATATATATAATATTCAAAGATGTTATTAATTATTACTATATTATTATTACTGATCAACCGAAAATAAAGACTTATATACATTTTTTTAAACAACGATGTTTACTAAAGTGGTCACTGTGGCCAAAGTTAGAACAAGAACCATTTGATGACAAAACAAATGACTAAATTTAATATAACTATAAATTAATATATAATATAATTGAATAAATTTATCAAATCAAAACATTACTTTTGGTCAAACTTTAACGAATTCAGCTCAAACTTTGTCAAGGTGCTCATGGCTTTAGATTACCTACATTATTATTTTTTAATGAACAAAAAATTGTGTTTATGTTTCATAAAAATAGGTCACACAATATTTACACATTTTTTCCAAGTAGTAATGCTTTTCTAGTGCTTTAAAATAAACAATGCGATCGAATCAATTTAAATATTAGTTATTAAACTTCTACAATTAGATAGTTTTTTTGTCTCTACTGTGCATTTAGAAAAGCATCGGAAAGAGATTCTAACATAGAAGTGCACGCTAAAGAAAGCACTTTACATTAAATCAACTAATGTGCTAATCACATTTCCGTTTCTTTGGTCGAGCTTAGAGACTACCCGAGACGTGACAGTAGAATTCAAGTTGTGGCCGGTTTCGACACAATTCCTGTACGGTTTGGCAATCCAGGACAGGTTCAGTAATGCATCGTGCATGAAATCACCCAGCCAGAGTAAATAGGTGGGTGGGGAAGCTGGGCTGGAATAGCTAGACTCAGGCCTGGTTTGGTAAAGCAATCATCTACAGGTTCAAGCTGCTGCTTGCCAAAGAGTTTCTCCAAAACACAATCCCCCAATGGCAAGTCAAAGAGACTCAAAGTCAGTTTGAGCCGTAAAATGATTCCTTCTTTAACCACAGTTCTGTTAAAGGTAACAGAATAAAAGTGTAACAGCATGAAATGCAGTTGAAGGCAAACTGATTAGCCCTCCTTTGAATTTATTCTTTTTAAAATATTTCCCAAATAATGTTTAACTGAGAGATTTTTTGTCAACATTATAGTTTTTAAATAACTGATTTCCATTTTCTTTGGTCTTTGCCATGATGAGAGTACATGTTTAACTAGTTATTCTACAATATGCTATTACTCAGCTTAAAGTGAAATTTAATGGCCTAATTAGATTAAGTTATGTTAAGGGGGATGTGACACAGTGGTGCAGTAGGTAGTGCTGCGCCTCACAGCAAAAAGGTCGCAGGTTCGAGCCTTGGCTGGGTCAGTTGGCGTTTCTGTGTGGAGTTTGCATTTTCTCTCTGCGTTCGCACGGGTTTCCTCTGGGTGCTCCAGTTTCCCCCACAAGTTCAAAAACGTGCTACAAGTGAATTGGATAAGCTAAATTGTATGTAGTGTGTGTGTGTGTGTGTGTGTGTGTGTGCGTGTGTGTGTGTGTGTGTGTGAATAAAGCTGCGGTCACATTAGAGTTTGAGAAAAGGGGCAGGATTAAACAAGCTTATTAGACATTTAAATAAGCGAGCGATTGCTCCATGTTTTAAATTTCTTTCCAGAGAGGTCATGTTTTGATCCTCGATTGGTCTCACGCAGTCAAGTGATGCAATTCCGCAGGTCAGAGTTCACCGAGCTTGAACTTTGCACCGCAGCAACCTGCGAAACTTGACGAATGACCCCACGTTTCTGGTCTGACGCATTCGCGTGCGTATGAATGGAAGTCTATGGGAGAAAAAAGCCCAGTGCGACTGCAGCTTAAGTGTGTATGGATGTTTCCCAGTGATGGGTTGCAGCTGGAAGGGTATCCGTGGAATAAAAACTGGATAAACTGGAAAAACATATGCTGGATAAGTTGGTTCATTCCGCTCGGGAGACCCCAGATTAATAAAAGGATTAAACAGAAAAGAAAATGAATGAATGAATGAGGAGGGCTAATAATTTTGCCTTCAAGCATATTAATGATATAATCTCTGAAGGATTTTAGAGACTGCCCAGAATAACTGTAATCTCTGCAATTGATTTTGGCCATGAAGTCGAGCAGCTGTTGAACAGGGTTAAGTGCTCCACATGCGTTTGGCTGAGCTTCAGACTGAATCGGTCAATGATTCATCCTGCACCAATCTGAACTATCTGTTTCCGATTAAACAGAGAATTATAGGGTTTGTGAGATTTCACAACTCATTGCTTTGCTCCATAAACGTATAAATGCAC